GTCTCTGTGCACTGGTGTATGAATTAGAAAGTGTCCGTGAGAGTGAATGTGGAACTACAGGTGGAAATGCATCCATCCATGATGCCTTGCCTCTCTATAGATCTGACCTGACATCTGAAACCCAGCAATACCAGACCACCAGCCCAAAGCACATGTGTCCAAAATGTGATTACCTGATTTCACCTACAGTAGCAGTAGTTGTAGGTCACCCCCGGCACACATACACAGAGGTATTAATCTGCAGGTCTAATGTCCTGATGAGGGGAGGAGGGGGAGGAGGACAGAAAGGAAGAGGAGGATGGAGATGGGGAGGATGGAGGGGGAGGAGTAATCATGACTGCTGTTAAAGCCTTGCTGGTGCAGGGGGGTGATGTATTGGTGTGTCAGTGCTACACAAATGAACACGCTGCTGTAATCACCACTGTTTAATACAATGAGAGAGATGAGATAATGTCACCCGAGAACAGGGAACATGTCCAGATGTCATACATCACATAACAGACATTTGTTCTTTACATTTAAAAGTGCACTATATCACTATTCTGATGGAGGGTGTGCCACCTGTCTCCATGGAGACATTATAGCTTTGCCTGTCATGGTATTAAAGCATAAACCTGAACATACAGTATCAGTATACATACATACATACATACATACATACATACATACTGTACATATTTTTTTTTTGATACAAGTGTTTTTATTGCTCAAAAATCCATTACAAACAGGCCTTCCAGGCCTTTGCCTCACACCTGCTTGTTTTTGTGGGGAACCCTGCAAGTGTTTCTTCAGTAGTGCTTATTAATTTCCATACACAAAGTGTGTTTACACTTTTTATCACTTATTCACTGTTATAAATAAAATGTATGATAAAAAAGCTTCCTAATCATAAATGGACCTACATTATTCTCAAGATTTAAACCCATTTCTTTAAGGCACTTGTGATGTGTGTCTTTGTCAGACTGTTGTGATCTGTTATATTTCTAATAGTGCAGAGTGATGGCCTGTGCAGACCCTTACCACTCTATATCCACACTGTCACTGCCTGTGCCCCATGAGGCCCCTGCACACCCTCTAATTGGTTTGGGAAGGATTTGGCATGCTTTGAACTAACACGAGACGGGTGAGGGATGGAGAGACAAAAGAGGAGAGGAGAAAGTGATAGAATAACAGCTGAGAGGACTGGACAGTTTAGCTAAATGTTAGCGTAGCTGTGTAAACGTGCAGTGAGCGGGCGCTGGGCGCTCATGTGTGCCGCGCTGACATGCGCACTAACACACACTAACACACACTAACGCACACTGCATGTAAAGTACGCTCAAATTGGCCCGAGCTCAGCCAGTCAAATGCATTCACACAGGGCCCAAAATCTGTCAGACACACACCAAGTGTCAATTAAAAGTGATCCCTGAAGCCTGCCCTGCCCCAGCCTGAGACGAGAGGCTGCAGACATGTCCAACACCATGGACACATCTACATCTATGTCCTACAAGTCCTGCACAGGACTCATCTGTATGTCCTAAACAGGACACATCTGTATGTCCTACAAGTCCAACACAGTGGACACATCTATGTCCTACAAGTCCTACACAAGACTCATCTGTATGTCCTACACAGGACTCATCTGTATGTCCTACACAAGACTCATCTGTATGTCCTACACAGGACTCATCTGTATGTCCTACACAGGACTCATCTGTATGTCCTAAACAACATCCATCCATCCATTTTCTTCCGCTTATCCGGGGCCGGGTCGCAGGGGCAGCAGTCCCGAGGGAGGCGTCCAGGAGGCATCCGGAACAGATGCCCGAACCACCTCAACTGGCTCCTCTCGACGTGGAGGAGCAGCGGCTCTACTCCGAGTTCCTCCCGTGTGACTGAGCTCCTCACCCTATCTCTAAGGGAGCACCCAGCCACCCTGCTGAGGAAACTCATTTCGAGCGCTTGTATCCGCGCTTATCCTTTCGGTCATTACCCAGAGCTCATGACCATAGGTGAGAGTAGGAACGAAGACTGACCAGTAAATCGAGAGCTTCGCCTTTCGGCTCAGCTCCCGCTTCACCACAACGGTCCGATACAGAGACCGCATTACTGCAGACGCTGCACCGATCCGCCTGTCAATCGCACGTTCCGTCCTCCCCTCACTCGTGAACAAGACCCCGAGATACTTGAACTCCTCCACTTGAGGCAAGGACTCTCCAGTGAGGAACATGTTTCATTTTGAACATTGGCTTCGTCTGCTTCTTTCTGTTTGTGCACTATGACAGAGAAATAAGTGGATTCCATTGGTCCTTAGTCAACACATGTAAATGAGACATTGTGCTTGGTTGTTGTGTTGTACTTGTCATTCATTCATATGCATGTTGAAATGCCGCACACTCTCTCTCTGTTTATTTGTAATTATTTATTTCAGGGTGCAAAGGGTGTTTTCCCGAACCAGTAGAAATATGTTAACTGCTGCAGAAATCAATGCTTCTGTATGCTTTTGTGTGTAGCATTTATTTAATATTTCACTCACTTTTGTGATAAATAAATCCAGACTCTTTGTGTTCCTCACAGTTATCTCTGCACATTGGACTCCTCTCAGAGCCTGTAAAAGCACACATGCACAGACACCTCTTTGTTTTATGGGGCTGGGGTGATGGATGATGAAGCCCACCTGACCATATTGCCACCTTAATAAAATCCCCCCCCCCACCCCACCCCTCTGCACCATCATTTTTAAGATCGAAAACTAGTTTATGTGTCAATAAGAATGATGCGGCGGCGCAGGGCTCACAGCTATATTTACATCTCACCCTGCGCTGGCCTGTATCACTCACATGGACTGTTTAAGAGGAAAGGGCCCCTGTCTGTGAGGCTCTAATCGGGGACTTCATTTCAGTGTGTGGCATTCAACCAGTGTTACTTATTGACTTATAAAGTTCACTAAACATGATATAAAGTCAATTTATTTAATATTTTCACCACTTAGGTCAAAAGAAATATAAAATACTACAATATAAAAACATAACAAACTGAAAGTGATAATAGTGTTTCCAAAACATAAATATATATTAAATATAACAAATATATATTACTGCACACATACAATATTTACTAAAATACAAATCATGTATGTAGCCACAAAAAACTGGTTAAACCTGAAAAAGAAATTTTGGACATTCGGTACTCTGATTTCACAAAATAAAATAAAATACATTTTTTGCCAGTCTGGAAGTGTTTGTTGACAAACTTAGTAGTGATTCTTTGTGCGTTTCTTGCGTTCCCACACAAAATAACTGATGTTATAGAAAGTTGTCATATTTGATACATGACATTTTCTATCCATTGAATTGTAAATATGAAGAAAACCAAGCTGCTCTGTTCAGGGAGCTCTCAAACATTCCCCAAATATTCTCTGCTCTAAACCCCTCTTCCAGCTTGAAGAAAAACACTACACTACTTAAGAATGGTCACATTTTTATATAGCACTTTTCCACATTCAAGGCTCAAAGCTCTTTACAAGGAACCACTGACCCATTCACACGCACACGCACACACACACACACGCACGCACGCACGCACACACACACGCACGCGCGCACACACACGCACGCACGCACACACACGCGCACGCACGCACACACACACACACACTCGCACACACACGCACGCACACACACACACACGCGCACACGCACACACACACGCACACACACGCCCATACACGCACCCCCACAAACACGTGCACACACACTCATACACACACGCACACACCCACGTGAGCGCACGCACATGCACATACACACACACATAGACACACACACACCAGTGTATGCAGACACTGGGGGCGAGGGGGGTTAAGTGTCTTGCCCAAGGACACAATGACAGCATTCATCTGTGGGAGCTGGAATCTGTGGCTCATTGGATCTGATGCTAAACCAACGATGTTTATGTTGAGAGTGGGATTCAAACCACCATCCTTCTGATCAGTGGACGCTTGACCAGTTGAGCTACTGTCGCCCAGTTACTGTTTGGAAGTTCACATATTTTGTTCTGTATTGATTAAATAGAAAATTTCATGGATGAAGGAAGTTAGTTTGGCTGTGACAGTAAAGCTAACAACAACTAGCATGCTAACCGCACACTTCTTCATCAGAAAATAAAATGCTTTCTTATTACACAGCAAAAACTGGAGGGTTAAAATTTCAGGGTAAAATATTTCAGACTTGCTTTTAACACAAAACATGCTATTTTCACTATTTCCAAGTTAAATGGGGGTTCAGGTCGGGGTTATTTACCAGAGTTGATATGGCTGAAGTTAATTCAACTTCCCCTTGTGTTAATGCAACTTCCCTTAGTGTTAATTTGCCACCTGCCATGCACCATTTCAAACTCCTGCGAGAGACCAGTTTGAACCAGTTTTGTACATAATGTTTACTCTGAAAATGTTAATATAACTCTTGATTTTGAGGTTAAACAGGAACTTTGGGCCAGTGTTACTTGATTAACATTTCCCAAAAATGTTAAATTAACTCTAGAACAAATTAGACTCATACAGACCCTGGCAACATGTTAAAATAGATTCTGTGAGAGTCAATTTTAACTCTCCACTTTCTGTGCTGTAGATGCAAACATCACACAACAGACATGCTTTGACCACAAGAGCTGCTTCTACATCTGTACTGGGGTGAGACACATTTGCTCTAATGGGAAAAAATCTGGTATATATAAAAATTTGTGACTAAGTACCCGTGTTTTATGAGTGAAATTTCTAAGAAGACTGATTCAGCCACAGATTCACTTAAATGTGTCGAACATAAAAACAGCTGACCCCCAAAGGATTTATTCATGAATATGATATGAATATGAATAAAACACATTTGACATAGTTACACGAAGCACAGAGGTCAGAACAGAACAGGTTTTTAAATGTGCAGATTGTAAAAAAAAACAAAAAAACATGTCATGTATATCTCATATATTTGGAATACAAAAATAGAAAAAATGCTGCAGCCTGGTCAGTGGAGAGCAGTGTGGTCAGTTGTGATCAGTAGACAGTGCAGTTAGCTGAAGACCTCTGAGTGCACATGAAGTCACTGGTCATCTCTCTGTACCCCCGAGCCTCAGTCAGGCCACTCCCTGGAACATCAAACAAATAAGGATCTTAAACACTAATTCCGAAAGTCACAAAGAGTTACAAAAGCTGACATATACTGCAGATCACAATGCCTGTAACATCAGCAGTTACAGACCACTTCAATGTAACAAGAACAGCATTAGTAATGACAATAATAATGCACTGGATTTGTAAAGAGGTTTTCAGGAGACTTAAAGTGCTTTACGTTGCATTTCACCCTCTCCTTATAGCAGTATTGACAATGTGAGGCCACCCCCAATAATAGCAATGACACCCCTCTAACTGTATGTAACATCAGTAGTTACAGACCACTTCAGCGCAACATGAAAATCACTGACCACTCCCTGTAACAGTAATGACAACAATTACAGATCACCCCCATAAACATAATCTTCAATAGTTGCTGGAACCACAACAGCAAATATGAGTCCACTCTCAGTAACAGTAATGACACATGTTAGTCTACTCTCAGTAACAGTAATGACACATGTTAGTCCACTCTCAGTAACAGTAATGACACATGTTAGTCCACTCACGGTAACAGTAATGACACATTAGTTTGACTACTCTATATAACAATAATAACAAATGCTTTACAATTACAGATCAGTCCTGTAACTGTAACATCAGTCATTACAGACCACTTCTCTATAACATGAATTGACCCACCCCCGTAACACTAATGACAATGTGGTTACATATCCTTATCAATTCATGTAACATGAATGCAAAGGGATAGTCAGCTCTGTCACAGGCTGTGTGATAATGGCTCACCTTCCATCAGGTTGTAGAGGTTACAGTAGTTTGTACCGTGGTCTTTAATGGTGTACCACGTCTGAGAAACAGACATCGCCTGAAATGTAATTTCAAAATGGATGAATTAGGTTATAGTGGCAAAAAAGAATTCAAAGTGTATATGTGGATGAAATTGTGGCAGAGTGACAAACAATGTAAAAGTCACATACCGAGACGTGACAGCAGGTGAAGAAGTGGAAGGGCATCAGGCGTATGTGGATGTTGTCCACGTGTTTCTTGAAGGGTGTGGTGTGTTTGGCCTCGATGAAGTGCACCGAGGCAGACTGCAGCTGCAACACACACAATGTGAAGATACGTAAGAAAAGAGCTTTAAACTCTGATTGACTTTCATTAACATGAGGACATGATTGACAGCACTAACATGAGCAACAGGAGTGGACTTCTGTGGAGTAACATACGGACAACAACAGTGCAGACAGAAAAGTGAACCTGAGGAGACCTGAAATCATTTAGTAAGTGCCAATCAGTATCGATACTTTCTACAAGAAAATTTGAATCAAGTAATTCTTCAACTATAATACAACTCAGTGACATCATTTGTGACACAGACCTAAAATGTGTGTTCCATATAGAAACATGTGACCATGTATCATTTCTAAGCTTTAATATTAAATGATGGCAGCTCAGTCAAAATGGTGCATAATGCGCCCATCTGAACAGCGCTCTGACCCTCTGCTTCATGTGATCTTTGATGATTTGGCCCTTAGTGCAAAGTCTGTACACCTCTATAATATACAGTAGTATTAATATTCATATTTTATTTTCAGTGTACATCAGATTGTAGAATGTGATGATCCTTGTCCCAGATGTGTGCAGAAATCTGTCCCTATTGATCACATTGTATTTTACCATGAAATCTCCGAAAGGTAAATGCACAAATGCTGAACCTGATCATTTCTATGAGTGATTCGAGTCAAGAGCTCTGTGTATGACAACAGAATAGAAGTCCTCATTATTTGCTCAGGCTTGATCATGTCTGACTTACAATTTGACCGACTGTATCTAGGGCTGAAGGGGCTGAGACAAACCTTGTAGAGACAGCGCTGCCCCCCGGTGGTGCAGCTGGTCATGCCTCTCCAGGCCTTAATCTGAGACACCAGCGCCTCATACACTTCTGTGCACCGGATCCCGAAGTACCTGCAACCAACAGGAAAGAGTCTATTATTAGCATATTAGTTATACTATTATTTATTTATTATTAACAAATGTACAAAATATTTACTTGTGTTTATATTATTTTGAGTTAATCTTTCCTATTTTCTAAAACACATTTTTATTTATTTAGTACTTTTTTTTTTTTTTACAAAATAGTTCCAACACACTTTAAAACTCTCTTCACAAAGAAAAACACTGTTACTTCAAAACAAAAGTACTTAATATGAAACGAACGTATAAATAATTGCAAATTGAGTAAAAGTACAAAGTATAACATTTCTACAGACACATTTCCTGTTTCTTAAAGCACTGACTGAAATTAGAGGAGTGCATTTTTAAACAATAGAAGGTGTTATTTGGTTAAATTCACATAAAAAGTAACTGTGTACTATGCTGTGTACGTGTACGTAGTGTTCTGCAGACAGTGGAGTCCATGGATGTCTCTCTCTGAAGCTCTTAACCTGATTATTCTTGTGATCACATGACAGTTAAACATGAACATGAGTCACACATCAGAGCTGCTTACTCTGTCAGCGCTGATCTGAAGAAGCTTGTTTCCTGTACACACGAGATTAGGTTTTAAACTGTTCTTATTTCACTTTTCAAGTGTTATTTCTTGATGTGGGAAAGCATCAGTGCAAAATTGATTCTGTTGATACTTTGCGTGCAGAAGTGTCCTACTCTCAGCTCGACTGTTATTATTGAGTAAACAAGACACATTTTAGAACTGGGTGTGTCCAGTGTTTGTAGTCTCTGCATTTGTCGCCTGTGGATGGATATAACCGGTACAAAAACTCAAGGGAATGATACTCAGTACAGATTTTAATAACAGAGTGATGGTTTAAATCACTTTTGTACATTGCAAGTTTGAATTTAATGATTAAATAATTAATGGAATGATTAATAAATATGGCCTACCATGTGGTCTAATTTTAATTACAATTAAGATCAACTCCAGCCTTGTTCTGTTAGTGTAATGTTTTTTTTTTTTTTTTTTTCAGTACTGATACCTGCTCAAATTTATGCTGTTTCCTCCCATTTATCATCATCATTTAGTTGTACACACAGGACAGTAAAAATCCTCTTCAGACACTGGTCTTTTGAGTGCTAAGCTACACAAAGTGTCCTGCAACATAATACTGACAAATATCTTCTTCTCCCAATCATAACTCCCACATACAAACAGATAGAAACCAGACACAAGACACAAGAGGAGAACTCACCATTCCACTTTACACTGGGCATGCAGGGGCCCCGCTGTGCCCAGTCCACACGAGAGGAGCTGGCCCGAGAGCAGGAGCAGAGCAGGGGCCCACAGAGCCATGCTGGGGCAGAAGAACCACGCTGTCCACAGAGCACCCACAGAGAGCACCCACACAGATCCCACACCGAGCACCCACACAGGGCACCCACACAGAGCACCCACAGAGAGCACCCACACAAATCCCACACAGAGCACCCACACAGATCCCACACAGAGCACCCACACAGATCCCACACAGAACACCCACACAGATCCCACACAGAGCACACTAAAGGAGGACACAGAGGACAGGAGCCAGGACACGGTGCAGGAGTGTCATGTGCGCTGAATCAAGAGACAGAGCTAATTAGATCAGAGGAGGTAAGAGGAGGCAGAGGACCATTGTGTGAGTAGAGAGTGACATCTACTGGGCACTCGAGAGAACATCATTCCAGTCATTCTATTTATTTACACATTGATTTTGACATTTTATTAATTATTCTATAGGCCCGAGCTGGAGAAGCTGGTGAAAGGCCTATGCTAAGAGCAGTCGGTGAGTGCACTGACAGGAAATGAAGGGCCTGTACTGACCAGGGACTCTCATCATTTTCAAAAATGTATAGATTATTGAATATTGTTCTTGCATAACGTCTGGTTATTTCCAATTTCCAAAAATAAATAAAATGGCATTAAAAAATTGCATTGGGGTATAGAGCAGATGACAAAAGAAATTCCCCTTTAAAATCAAGAAGTTTGACATAGAAGTAGATCATGACAAGACAAGTAAAAAAAAAATCTGATTTTAAATTTTTTTTAAAAATTCCCATTTGCACAAATGTTGATTTCAATGAAATTTCAGTCAGTTTTCACATCAGTCTACTTGACATGAAAAAGGTGATTAGCTCCTCCTACACATTAAAATAAAACTGAATATAGGAAGGTTAGGGTTAGGTTAAGGCCCGGTTAGGGTTAGTTTAGGGGTTATGGTAGTGACAGGGGTTAGTGTTAGGGTTAGGTCAGGGCTTAAAGGTGGGTATTAGGGTCAGAGCTTAAAGTAGGGGTTAGGGTAGGGTTAGGTTAGGGGCAGTGTTGGGAAGGTTACTTTTAAAATGTAATCCCCTACAGATTACAGATTACACACCCCAAAATGTAGTTTGTAACGTAATCCATTAAATTACTTAAAATGAGTAACGTAATCTGATTACTTTGGATTACTTGATATTGTCATGTTTTTTTAAACGACATGAATGTAGCAAACACATCCTGAAAATTCTTGTTTGTCTTCAAATTGTCTGAGGCCAAGTCTCCATGAATAAGCAGCTGTTTGCTGTAGAGAAACAAAGACCACAACATCTTAATATAAGAGGTTTTGTCTGTTAAAAGACAGTAACAAGATAAGCTTTTCCTTCACCATATTAAAAAATATTATTGATAGAGAAATTATTTTTTTATATGAGATCACCTTAAATTATGTCAACCTACTGTTAGGTGTCATGTTGTTTAGACCTGGTTTAGTCCTGGTTTAGTCCTGATTTTAGACCAGGTCTAGACCAGGTCTTTACTTCTGGTTTAGTCGTGATTTAGTCCTAGTTTAAACCTGGTTCAGTCCTGCTTTAGTCCTGGTTTAGTCCTGGGTTAGTCCTGGTTTAGTCCTGGGTTAGTCCTGGGTTAGTCCTGGTGTTAGTTCTGGTTTAGTCCTGGTGTTAGTTCTGGTTTAGTCCTGGGTTAGTCCTGGTGTTAGTTCTGGTTTAGTCCTGGGTTAGTCCTGGTGTTAGTTCTGGGTTAGTCCTGGTTTAGTCCTGGTTTAGTCCTGGGTTAGTCTTGGGTTAGTCCTGGTGTTAGTTCTGGTTTAGTCCTGGATTAGTCCTGGTTTAGTCCTGGTGTTCTGGTTTAGAGGCGCACAGGAGGAAGCGCGGTTTACGCGAGAAAACACAGTCCACACGTGGCGCACGAGACGGCGGTGTCCACGCTGTAACTACGGAAGGAGACGTGGTCCGCGGGTTCTCAGGTTGATGACGATGATGAAGGTGTGTGTGTGTGTTTGTGTGTGTTTGTGTGTGTTTGTGTTTGTGTGTGTTTGTGTGCACGTCCCCTCATGTCGCAGGTCATTATAGGACAGTAGTGCAGATATTATGAGTCTATGCAGGTTGTTTTCACCAGTGCCAGTAGCTCCTGTTTCACATTTAAGTTGTAGGCGATTTTATATATATATATATTTTTTTATATATATCTATCTCACATCGGGAGAAGAATTTCCAAGACACAAATGCGTTTTTACCAATGCACTGCTGCTTCCACTGTGTGACTGACACCGCCAACTTTAACATGACATTTCCATCGCTCTTATTGCGCGTATTCTGTTTGGGTTTCCGGCAATGAGTGAAATTACCAAAATAAAAAAATAAATAAATGGGATGTAGCACAAAATGTGAAAACAGGAAAATACCGCCTTGTAATCCACTTATTTCAGCAAAGTAACTGTAATCCAATTACCACTCATTGAAACAGTAACTGTAACGGAATACAGTTACTCATAATTTGTACTCTGATTACGTAACGGCGGTACATGTAATCCGTTACTCCCCAACACTGGTTAGGGGTTAGGGTAGTGTTAGTTTAGGGGTTAGGGTAATGTCAGGTTAGGGTTAGGGTAGTGTCAGTTTAGAGCTGGGGTCTCAGACTCGCGGCCCGGGGGCCAACTGCGGCCCTTGTAAGGATTTTTTGCGGCCCTCCACTTAATTCCAAAGAACAATGTCAGTGCGGCCCACGGTAGATGTAGCACAATCCCACCCCCCTACTGCGGGCCGCACTGACAGATGAAGCTGCAATCGGTGCCCATGCAGATTCACAACAGATTATTAACGCAGCTTACATCCCAAAACTCAACTTACAGCAGTTGTGAAGCAACGAGTCTAAGTGGATCTGTTAATACGAGTACACGTGCACATACGGCGTCACTGAAGAACCAAAATAAACCACACATGGTACACGTGTGCGCACTTCACTTTACACTCCCACAACCACAGTATCAGAGCTCAGAAGAGGCGCTGACAGAATTCCCCTGTTCATAAGTATGGGACCTTTATTGGAGGGGCTAAAAAGAAATAAAAAAGACACTGACAGTCTGTTTACCTGCTCAACACTCGATGAGTAACTTGCTGGCAACCCGATGACCAAGCTCCACATATGTGTCGCCGAAATCCACGCGCACTCAGCGGCAAACACAGCTGTCCCATCAATATGCAAGCACCACAAAACGGCAGTGATCTATTCCAGAGGCTTGGCGATATGTTAGCAAAAAGTACGAGGCAAAAACAAGCGTCTTCCGTCCATGTTTGACATACAAGAAGAAGATACACTCCAGTGTGGTCCGCTTTCACACCTGTGAACCAAAACTGGTCCGATTAACGAGCCTCTGTATCCCGGTAGAAGAGTGATATCTCCAGTAACCAATACTGATGTTCACTGTTAATACCGCGGGCGTCCTCATCTTATCACCATGAACTCATAAAACAACTTTGTACAAACTCACCGCATCAGCCCAGAGTTCGGGTAACAGCAGCAGCCAACAGCGCTCACCGTAGCGTGCAGCTCTTCACGACGGCGCTGGGGTCTGGTCCTTGGTCAATGACTGGGTCTGAGCGGGTACGTTCCGCCGTCTGTGCACTGGTTCTGTTTGGGGAACGCGAGAATGCACTGTGACTACAGGTCTGTGCGGGCTGCTCCTGTCCTCCGCGCTCAAGAACCACGGCTGGTTCCGAGGTGGTGCAAAGCATCCGGACAGAAGCATGAATCCAGTTTACTTGGTGTCCACATTTGGTTCTTCCTGGGGAAAGTGCTTTTCACTCCCCGCTCCACGTCATCTGAGCCCGGACAGAACCGGAGCTGCTCCTGCTGGTTCGGGACTCTAGTTTGGATCTAGTCCGACTGTATTTCTCACGCAAAGCTAAAAGCTGGACATTTTTTAAAGGTGAATCAATTGAATGGGCGATTGCCTATTGCCATGAAATTATTTGGTTAATTAAAGCCTAAAATAACAAATGCTGGTTCCTACATGATCACGGGGAACACCGGGACCTCTGTGCAGGTCCTGAACAGAAGTACACACCCCCATTTTTGACTCACTCTGGAGCCACACATTCGCACGTACTTGCTCTGATCTTCCTGCATTACATTCTCTGTATTGGCCATTGTTGGTAAAATTATTTGAAAATGAATCGCGGCTGCGTCTGGACAGCAATCTGTTACTGCGCTGGAGTCGTACAGCGCGTCATTTCAGGCAAAGGAGACACGTTTCTACCATGATGCATTTCCAATAGTTCGTTTGGACCTGCTGTCTATGGTTTGGACACGGGTTCGCGTTCACACCAGAGGTGCGGATTCAAGCGAATGATGCTTTCACACCAACGCAAACGAACCGAGCTAACCACTTCTGGTTTGAATGGACCGTTTGGTGCGCACCAAATACTGTCGGTGTGAAAGCACCTAATACAGGTCAAGGCTCACTGATGAGCATCTTCAATCTATCCTGAGGATCTCATATGCTTCCTCCTGCAAGCGAAATATCTCTCAGTTGTGCAAGATGAATCGTAGCCAGGTTTCAACCAGTAAGGAGTAGGCAAAAGAAGAAGAGTAGACATATTAGTTTAAACTTACGTTATGAATACATTTTCATATTCTGAACTGTTATTAAAGATTAACCCTTATATTGTGTTAGGGTCAAAATTGACCCGTTTTCAAGTTTAGGTATGTAAAAACTGCCATTTGCTTTTTTGTACCGGAATGAGGCTTCATCTAATCCTCAGACACAACTATTTTAACGCAACAAAATCAATTTTCACCATTTTAGTAAATTGTAAAGGTCTTAAAAAAAAAAAAGTGACATCTGTGGTGTTACGGGTCAAAAATGACCCGGCAGAGAATAGTGGCTGTTTTATGCATCACTTACAAGCTGTAGGCTGCTCTGTGGATCAAATATGGCTCAGTGTGTCCCACAACACACACACACACACACGCACACACATATACACACACACACAAAGGTCGTCTTCACCCACGTGAACTCTTCTCTTTCTTGCAGC